GACAAGAAAAATCCTTTGTAATATCACCCCACAGAGGGCTCCCTTCCGTTTTGTGTTGGAATCCTAAAAAGACGGGGATCATGATCTCTCCTTCTTTCTGCTTCTTCTTGAAATGTTTATCCAGGGACACATTCTCAACTCTACGAGACATGTCTTATCTGTACCTTCCAGTTTAGGATATTGGTCTGTAAATTCTTGTCTCCCTTATTTTTGTAAGTGCGTTGTTGGCACTCAGTAAGCACTAACTGGTAAGGGCTAACTTAACAAAAGTCCACCTCCTGACTGCATACTAGGACTGGTCAGTGCTCATTCCTCAGTTTGCTTTTGGCAAGTGTAGTATTTTTGCTGCTTTTGGATCCAAGGCACAAGCCTGGTTTCCCTTCCTAATTCTGGAAATCCTAAACAGAAGGCATAAAGGAACTGTTTCACGGATGTTTTTAAATAGGGAAATTCTGAAAATTACTTGCACCTCGGATTTTTTAAGACTTAGATTTCAGTAAGTGGGTAGATCCCTGGGCTCAAATGACAGAAATCAAGGCAAAGATTCTAAGAAGCAATTTGCTGAGCTAGGAAAAGCTGCAGCCTGAGAGCTAGGTCCAAGTGACTAAGCCCACATCGAATTAGAGTGCTAGCCCTCTGTATGTTAGCATGTTTTGAATTGCCAATGGAAAGAAGGTACAAAAGGCAAGAAAGGGCAAATGCTTCAGGAGCCCCCACCATCCCCTTCTTGACCATTCCCATCAGATCTGGACCTAAACCAGAGAACTGATGAGGGTGCTGGACAGTGTGTGTGTGTGTGTGTGTGTGTGTGTGTGTGTGTGTGTGTGTGTTGTGATTTATTAGTGAATTTATTAGCCCTCACAGTCCAGGTTGAGAAACCATACTCACAGAGACACATACATCTCATCCATTCTTATCCCCCAGTGTTTATATGAAAAAATGTGAAAATATGAATCTGAGCTTCAGACTCCCAAGAAGCATGAGGGATGGAGATGGGAGCAGGATGGAGAGAGATGTGAAGAAGCTTTAGAACAGAATCCATATAGAGGTTCAGAAAACAGGAAGAGGTGACGTGCTGAATGTCTCATGGCTGTGTTGTTGCATGGGCAATCTGAAGGAGCCCATCTCTAGGTGCTGAGGGTCCAGAAGGCAGGGAAAAACTGTGGGCACAGAATACCTTCTGCACCTCATTGGTTTTCTCACTAGGGCTGAGTGCTCTGTCTAGAGCAATTCCAAACTACATTAGGAAATAGATACATGGATATTCCGGGTTTAAAAACCAGCCTTTGGAACCTGGTGATTTCCCTAGGAAATCATAGGCTGAACTGGAATCCTATAGCCTGGGCTGACAGGCTTTCCAATGACAGCCCTAGCTTGTGATATTAGTATGAGGCAGGACAGGGTAGACCAGGGTGGGGGTCCCCAACCACAGATTTGGGGGAGAAGTTATGGGACAAAATAAGTAAGAGCCCCAAACCCAGGGAAGCAGAGGCACATTGGATAACAAGGATAGGTCTGGGGAAAAGAATGAGGGTTTCTGCACTGAGGTAGTCAGTAATGAGAGAGAGAGAGAAAAAGAGAAAGAGAGAGAGAGACAGAGAACACTCATGAAGGACACCCTATTGAAGAGTAATGATCGGCATATGCAGTCCCTCTCCACCTGCCCCCGTGCAGTCAGACTGGTCTGACAGTGCAGTAGATGGGAAGGCAATGAACCACATCAGCTACTGCACAACTCAGTTATCACATGGGGCATTTCACAGAAATGCTTGTGCCAGAAGACAGTCTGAATCAGGGGTCAGCCTAAGGCTTTGCATGGCCCATGAGCTAAGAATGGTTTACATTGGCTGGGTGTGGTGGCTCACGCCTGTAATCCCAGCACTTTGGGAGGCCTAGGCGGCAGATCACAAGGTCAGGAGATCGAGCCCATCCTGGCCAACATGGTGAAACTCTGTCTCTACTAAAAATACAAAAAAACTAGCTGGGCATGTTGGCATGCGCCTGTAGACCCAGTTACTCAGGAGGCTGAGGCGGGAGGTTGCAGGTTGCAGTGAGCCGTGACCACACCACTGCACTACAGCCTGGTGACAGAGTGAGACTACACCTAAAAAA